GGGGAGTGGACGGGGAGGACAGCATGGGGCCCAGATATGGGGTACCGAGCTTTTGAGGAAATCCAAGTTCAGAGCGTTGACGGGCCCTTGGACATAGCTGGCTGTTGCAGGGCCCACACTCCTGGCCCTTTCCCAGCGGCCTCCCCCAGTGCCCACACCAGTGGGACCCAGACCCTTGTGGTGCATGTTCCAAAAGAGACCATTTGAGGGACATGCCACCTACCTCACCCCTGATGCTGGCTGAGGGTCAGTCTCTCCCCAAGTGGGCATGAAGGACACACCCACCATCAGACCTAGGAGCCAGGGGCCACTGAGAAGTCCTTCCACAGCCACTGCACCCAGGAGGCAGCCTCCATGGTGCAGCTGCGATGCCCGATCTGGCCTGGGTGTTCCCCTCACCTCAGAACAGCTGTGTTCTTCAAGGCCAACCTCCCAGCCACCACAGAGCTCCCCTCCGTGTTCCTGTGTTTCAGATGAGGACAGTCACTCACCCATAGTCAGACTGTCAATGGTACAGCAGGCCAACCACCCCAGAAACATTGCTTTTAGCGCTCTGTTATGAAGACATTTCCAGCCTAAAGGGGAAGAACCGGCACCAAACCCTGAAGTGCCACCTCCCGGCTCCTCAGGCAGCACCACCAGTACCCCATTTCATCTGGAAATACTGAGGTTGTTTATCTAAAAAGCCTTTTTTTAGGTGGGGAGGGGAAATCTTGTTTATTTTCATTTATTTGGTCTACTCAGTACATGTTTAAAGAATAAATGCTCTATTTTAGAATAAAAAAAAGAGAAAGGAATTGTGGGCCACGAGACTGCAGTGGGCACAGGGGCGGTCAATGGTACAGCAGGCCAACCACCCCAGAAACATTGCTTTTAGCGCTCTGTTATGAAGACATTTCCAGCCTAAAGGGGAAGAACCGGCACCAAACCCTGAAGTGCCACCTCCCGGCTCCTCAGGCAGCCCCACCAGTACCCCGTTTCATCTGGAAACATTTAGGTTGTTTGTCTAAAAAGACTTTTTTTAGGTGGGGAGGGGAAATCTTGTTTATTTTCATTTATTTGGTCTACTCAGTACATGTTTAAAGAATAAATGCTCTATTTTAGAATAAAAAAAAGAGAAAGGAATTGTGGGCCACGAGACTGCAGTGGGCACAGGGGCAGGTCTGGGCCTATTCTCCTCACCCCTGTCTGGCCCCTCCTACCGTGGCTCCCAGTCCCTTGTCTGCCAGCAGCTCTGCTCCAGCTCCCACTGCCACTGCCTCTCCCATACGCTGACGGTGCCAGCCCCACTTGCACCCACTGACGGCACAGAGCAGTTGGGGCCAGTGCCATCAGCAGGTGCGAGCGGCTGCTGCCCTGATTGCCCCTCAGGAGCAGGGGGAGGTGGAGAAGCCCTTAGGGGCAATCAGGGCCGGCAGCACCATTTACACCCACTGACGGCACTGAGAGATCGGGGCTGGTAGCAGGGCCATTGCTGGCAGCAGGTGCGAGCCACGGGCAGGACAGTGGCACATGGATGCAAAGAATTTTTAGTAACCCCCAGAAGCTCACCCCAATGACAGCAACCGGCGCCCGCCTTGGTCTGGCGCCCCCATTCACCTGCTCCACGATCCTGCTGAGGCCGACACCGCCATGTTCCACACTCTGCTGCGTGCTCCCAACGCCCGCCATGTTCCGCACACCCCCCTGGTGGTCAGCACACATCATAGCGACTGGTTGTTCCATTATTCGATCTATTTGCATATTAGCCTTTTATTATATAGGATTACAGATGTATCTTGATAATGGATTCTTTTTGCCAGCATATCCATACATGCTCTCCAAATACATTTGTCCTTTACAAATACATCTAACTGTGCTAGTTATCACTTTACTAGAGGCCTGATGCACGGATTTGTGCACCAGTGGGGTCCTTTGACCTGGCCTGCAGGAATCAGGCCTAAACTGGTTCTCTGACATCCCTGAAGGGGTCCCGGATCGTGAGAAGGTGGTTCTTGGGTGACGTACCCTCGAATTGGGCTCCCTCCTTTCTGATTCCTGGTTCATCACCTGAGAACTGCAGCTGCCAAGTCACCACAGCTCAGCAGCTCCTGCATTGAGCTTCTGCCCCCTGGTGTTCCATGCGCATCATAGCTACCGGTTGAAGGTTGAACAGTTGGCCAGTTGCTTAGGCTTTTATATAGAGAGATTGCCTTTCAGCTTCAATTCACCCTTCAATATATGCTCTGTGATAATAGGAAGAACTCCTTTAGGTACCTCCACAGAGAGTACTATGTTTAGTTTTTCTCAGCAGAGGACACTGGAGAGACACTGCAGGAGTGAAGGTGTTCTCCTGGTATTTTCTGCTGTTGCACAGTGGGTCAGCAACCCTGAAGCCTTTGTCTGGTTTGGCCTGGCCTTAATCTTCTAGCAGCCTTCTCAACATGAAAACTGACTCGCAAGGCCTCCTGCTCACACTGGCACCCTCAGTCATCACTGACTGTTCACTGAAACCTGCATCCCCATTCCATGCACTTGCTATCACTTTCACTGTAGACCAGGGTGCCACACCTGTGCCTAGGCCCCCATTCTCTACAAGCCCCCCACCCCCACAGGATCCTGATCACCTACACTTGAGAGGGACTGCAGAACAGCTGTGGCCAGAATATACCAGCAAACTTGTCTGCTACCCAGTGGGCTGAACCACACATCCAATAGGATCTGAACCTTAGCCTTGGAAAGGTGCATTTATCCAAATTTGTCTTGCCTTGGGTACTCTCCCTAGAATACCCAATTTCTTATCAGAGCTTAGTAATTCTTTATATTAAACTTAACCCCCTAGCCGAACCGGTTTGGCTCAGTGGATAGAGCGTCAGCCTGCGAACTGAAGGGTCCCAGGTTCGATTCCGGTCAAGGGCATGTACCTTGGTTGCGGGCACATCCCCACTGCGGGTCGTGCAGAAGGCAGCCGATTGATGTTTCTCTCTCATCGATGTTTCTGACTCTCTGTCCCTCTCCCTTCTTCTCTGTAAAAAATCAATAAAATATATTTTGAAAAAAATAAAAATAAAAAATAAAAATAAACTTAACCCCCTATATGGTTTCCATTCCTGATTATATCCAGATTGATATAGGCAGTGTACACATTTTGTGTTAGTTTTTCTTGAAATGCTAGCTATGACCAACCAAACTGGATGCAGAGGGGGGAAAAAAGGAAAAGTTGTAAGAAGGAAATAAAGCATATAAAAAGGTAATCAAGTTGATTTTCCTAGTCAGATGGAGGGGACTGATCCCCCCCCTTTTTTTTTAGAGGACTTATTGCCCCTTTTTTTCAATACTCAAAATTGAATGATATAAATAGTATTGTATATTGTAAATTTCATAAAAATAAAGTATTTTTCTTTAAAATGGGCTGTCAGCTCTGGCCAGTTTGGCTCAGTGGATAGAGCGTCGGCCTGCAAACTGAAGGGTCCTAGGTTCAATTCTGGTCAGGGGCGTGTACCTTGGTTGCGGGCACGTCCCCAGTGGGAGGTGTGCAGGAGGCAGCTGATCATTGTTTCTCACTCATCGATGTTTCTGGCTCTCTGTCCCTCTCCCTTCGTCTCTGTGAAAAAATCAATAAAATATATATATTTAAAAAAATAAAATGGGCTGTCATTTTATTTTTTCTAGGAAAACTTTCATAACACAGGAAATATCATCCAGACATCTATTCATATTCAATATGAGTTTTTTTCCAATATTCAGTTAAATAATCCTATCTAATAAAAGAGAAACCTGGTACTTGGCGTATGACCGCTACCCTTCCCATTGGCTAATCAGCGAGATATGCAAATTAACTGCCAGCCAAGATGGTGGCCAGCAGCCAGGCAGCTTGAAACTAACATGAGGCTTGCTTCAGTGACAGAGGAAACCAACGTTCCCGCCTGCCTTGCAGGCCTCTGAGCCTGCAGTTTGAAACATTGCAACAAATACAGAAGCTAAAAAAAAAACCCAGAAACCAGCTTTCAGTGAGCTGGGATCTCCGAGCTGGAGTCAGAGCTGGAGTTATACATTGTTTCAA